CTAACTTGTTAGGGATCTCCTCGAGTTGTGAGTTTGTATCTTCTACTTTCCTCTCATCTTCTAGCAGGATTTCAATAGCAGTTCTATTTCTGTTTATCTGTTTTCTATTTAAATATTCAAGCTCCTGTTCTAAGATTGATTTTGAGCTAGCGCCTTCTTTTCTTTTTTCCTTTGATTCTTGTGATATTTGCCTAAATTCTTCTGTTTTAGATTTTTTACTGCTTTTTGCTTCTTCTTGTATCTTTTCTATAGGCTGTAAATTATCCTCTACTGATAGATTCTTATTTTCTTTAAGTTCTGCTACACTCTTTTTAGCTTTTTCTGTAGCCATAAGTTCTTGTTCAAGCTTTTCGAGTGCTATATCTAAAAACTCTTTCTTTTCTTTGATAATTATCTTCTTTATTATTCTACACTAGTTTCTGGTTACTGAGATAATCTTGGTACTTATTCCTATGATTCTTGAGACATACATATTTATCTTTTCTCAACTCCCTTCTATACTTTCTATTATGCTAGTAAACTTCTGAGGTTCTTCTTCTTTGAGCATTGATTTGAAGCTTGCAATCTTCTTTTCTTTCACTATAAATTTTTCTTCCAGATGTACTGTGTAACTATATTTTTTGTCTGCTGATATTTTGGTTAGCCTTATCCTACTCTTGCTTCAAGTGACTTCAGCTTTTTACTAAAATTCTTTGGAATTTTTCCTGTTTGCCTGTGTTCTGTTCGGTTTGAGTACTGTATACTTCTCTTCTATTGGCTTACATATGATGCATCAGATTGGTTATCTATTTATGTGACGTTTGTTTACCTTGTTTTGTAACTCTTGTGTTATGTTAAATGATCTATGTGACAAGATAAATTCAAATCCCCACTTTTCTCTAAAATTTTTTCGAATTTTCTTTTAAAGTGAGTTTCCTTCTAGTTATTTTCAGAGTTTTTCAGGTTTTTTTTATTAATATATGTACTTTTAGATGCTCTCTCTTTTTGCTTATTGCTACTTGTATTGTTTCTTAGTACTGTTTATTAGAAAATTATGTTTTTCCTTTAGCTCAAAAAATGGTCAAAATGATCTGCAGAAAGAGTTGCTTGTTTGTATAGTAGAATAAATCTGTAATAAGCTAGCTAGCTTAAATGATTAGATATTATAGTAATATTAGAATTAAATCTATATGAATTAATAAATAAAGTATTTAAACAGATAATCTATAAGTAGGTTACAAATATAATAGCATAATATAGAACTAATCAAGTGATCTAATATCTATACAGTGAACTACTTAAAATAGATAATAACTAAAGTTGTATGTATGACTTGTTGTATACTTTTCATATAATTACAAATAGTAGAAATCATCAATATATAATTCCATTTGTAAAACTAATAAAATACCTTTGATAATATAAACCATTTTAACAACAAAAAAAAAAAAAAAAAAAACATTAATTTTCTAAAGATCTTTTTTTTTGTTAATTTTATTTTTTTCTATAATATCAAACCTATATCTTAACTAGTTTAAATTTTTTTAGAATTTATGTTTTAAATTAACTATAATATTAAATAATAAACAATTAAAATTTTAGTTTTCCAAAATATTTCTAACAAAAATAAAACTTTTTCCAAAAAGTTCTTTTCTTTGAGTTTTAATTACCTATATATATATATTTTTTTGAATCTTTTTCCTTGATATGTTTCTCATTTAGTTTAAGAAGTTTTTATATGTTATTATTTGCTCCGAATTTGGTTCAAAAGATCTGCAAAAAGAGTTGACTGTTTCGAAAAATCACATAATTATTAATATTAAATAAAACATTTTATATATACTTTAATATTTAACCTATATACAACATATTCAAACAATTATAAAAAAAAAAATAATGTTGTTAATATAAATTTTATAGTAATTACTTTTTTATAAGTTTATTATTCAAATTTTTTAAAATAGCTTCTACTCTTAAACATTTATAATTAAAATCTGGTTCTGATTAATGATGGTTTCCAATCAATTGGGTGTGTTTCAGGAGTCTAAAATAATATACCATAAATTATTATTATTGTATTTTCATCATAATCGTTAAATAAATAAAAAATAAATAAAAAATAAATAAAAAAAATACATACTGCATTTGAATCTTCTTTCCAAATCTTAATAGTTTTGTCTGCCTCGCATGTTATCAACCTCAATCCTGTACGATCGAATGTGCAGGCAAATATTCCTGCTTCAGATTCTAAAGAACCAGGCTGTACAGTTGTTTCCATAGATTGGAATTTATACCCAGATTTCCAATCCCAGAATGCCATAGAACCATTATCAGCTTAATTGCAAAAAATTTTTAAATTAATTGACGTAGTGAACTGAGCAAACTGAATAAATAAAAATGAGATCAAACTTACCACCAGAAAATAAAACATTGTCGGCATTAACCGTCAATGCATTTATAATTGCACGATGACCTTCGAAATTTTGCATAAATGTACCTTCGGGGCATTTCCATTGCTTAATATTATCAGCACTACCACTAGCGAAGGTAAATTCAGTAGGATGTAATGCCAATGCCCTAACGGACTTTTTGTGATGCGTGAGGGTCGTCAATGTTTTACCAGCTGCAAGATCCCAAAGACGAATTGTTGAATCCATCGAACCAGTAAGAACTTGAGGATCAGCTTCTTGGCATTTCACATCAGCAACAGTAGTGTTGTGACCACTGAGAACGTGTATACATTGTTTTGTACGCATATCCCATACCTAAAGAAGAGTTAATTTAGTTAATGCTATATTTGATATCATTATTTATAATGTTATTTATAAAGTCAATAAATACTCTTGCTGTAGCATCTCTTCCAGCAGTCGCCAAAATATCCAAAGTAGGATGTAGACTTAAAGAGTATACACCAGATAGGTGTCCATGATAATGCCGGATAACTTTATTCTGTTCAAGATCCCAACACTTCACCATCTTATCTTCGCCACATGAAAACAAATACGGATGACGTGGAGAGACAGCTAGTCCGCGAACAGTAGAAATGTGACCAGTTAAAGTAAGTTTTAAAGTACCCGATGCAAGATCCCAAATCTATAAATAATAAGTTAATCATCGATTTCTACATCTAATTGAATAAATAATAGTAATTAATAATAATTCGTTTTCTTACCTTAATGGTTCTATCACCAGCACCAGTCACGAACCATTTATTCCCTGGTTCTATTGCGATAGATCTTACCCAACCCAAATGCCCACTAATAACTCTCATCAATTTCCATGGAGCATGCCAGTCTGGTTTTGTAAATCGTGGTGTATGACGTCTAACTAAGGATCCTGAGGTTGCTGCAAGTGTAGCGTTTATTCCAGCTTTTTGCCGTATTGCTACTACACCATGTGCTGTTTTGGCGGCTTCTTGCCTGAACGTAGATACATAGTAGTAGTTTAGTTATTAGTTATTATAACGCTGGTCAAAATAAACACTACTTTGTGAAACATACTGAACCCGGGATGGTGGAAGACTATCCACCAGTCTCTGTATAGTACTTTCGGAAACTTGAGGTTCCATCGCGTTATCCTCAGAAAGCTTTACACCTACATAATATATAACATTATCTTTGGCAAGAAAATTTTACAAAATTTGGATAATTTGATTTGAAATAATTTTACCAGGCGTTGAAGGATAAGCGTGACCTCCAGATATTTGTGGTAATTGGTCTTGATCCACGTCAGTTGAAATCTTATTATCATTAGCTGTTGAATCGGAACTGATAGCCTCTGCCTGAGAAATGGACCGTTTTTGTCCTCCTTGCAGTGCTAACAGAGCCCTTGGCAATTCTTTTGCATCATTGTATTCGTCGTGTATTTTTACGCGTAACTTTATTCTTAGACTAAGAAAGTGTGATTTGTAAATCAAAGTTACAACTTAGTAAGACTAAATTCTAAAGGTATATCAGTAGAGAAAGTAGACAGTCAACGTAATAAACAGCCACCAGAATTCAGAACCTTTCGTCGTCCTCTAAGATAGAACTTGCTGCAGCCCCTGATTGAAACATTGCTCTAGTACGTTTTGCAGATCGTTGTAACAAAGTCGTTAGATTAGGTGTGATTGCAGTAGCTTGATTTTCAACTTCGACCTCTGAACTTGACATCTTAAATCAATTACTGTACTCGCAAATTTGTATTATAAAGTTACTTTTTAAGAACTTGAATAAAAAATATAATTCAAAAAGATCTTGAATTTTGCTTAGAAGACTACTACTGCTTATTGGCATTTACTTTCTATTGCTCATTCGATTGGATAAAATCGACGAATTTTTATTGGACCGAGGATTGATTCTGCCCGAAATTTGCAAAAATTGCCTTGAAAATCAAGTTTTGATCATATGATTTACCATGCCTCATAAGGTCATTTCAAAATTAAGAGTAAGAAGGGTATATATAATTCGAGCAGGGAATAAAATTTTGGGAGCTAAGTCAGCGGAAAATTTCGGAAAGTCAACTAACAAAAGACGAGCATGGCGGGTGGGAAGTTACGAAAGAGTAATGATAAAGTAAGCGGAGAAATTTTTTGTACGTATATATAAAAAAATTTCAAATGAATATGAAATATCTAATAATGCTATTACCATCTGTTAGTACCAGTAGAAAAGTGTACATCACTAGATAAATCTATATGTAACATAGCAATTTTCAAATCGATACGTATAAATAACTTCTTACATAAAAAATTTGGTAATTTTATACGTATAATATTTACATTGCTACTTTTTGAAATTATAATAGTTAAAAAAAAATCGAAACAAACCACTAAAAAGACTAACCTAAACCATATTAAGTGCTACAGAATGAAAATCTGATAAATGAATCTTTATCACTAGAGATGTCACCCAAACCCGAAACTAGTTTGGGACTTAGCCGAAATAAAATCCCAAACTATAATACATTACAGTGATAGGAGTTTAATTAATGTTACAAGCGTTAATTTCTATTATTAAAAAGCATCAATTTTTTATATTATTATTTGCAGCATTCATTTACATTCATTTACATGTTTTTATTTTTATTTTTTTTTAATATTTGCAGCATTACATGTTTTTATATACTACGCTAATTATATTATTGCTCTGTAGCTTCTAAAGCTTC